TACCTCACACCGCGCCCGCCACCGGTCCGCGCCGACGCCGACGCCCGCCTTCATAATGGCCGCCCACCTCCGTCCCCCTCACGCCCTTCTCTGGGAAGGCGAGCCGAACCCAGCGGGAGACGATGCCCCGCGGGTCACCCGGCGTGCTGACCAGGTCCTGCCAAGGACAGACCATGCACTTATAAAGCTTACACCGAGGGCTTCGAGCTTCTTCAACAACTTTAACTCAAGGCTGCCGCCACCGTCGTCGGAGCATTCCCAGACCCGACCGACCTCGGGGCAAACAGCGATGCCACTGGGGACCCGGCGACCGCTGTGGGCGCTTTAAATCCCCCGAGTCTGAGGGGCTGGAAGCGGACGGCTTCGTTATCCGTGTTGAAAGTTTATCCTTTTCGGAAAAACAAAACAAAACAAAACCCCCGCAAGAACCACGTTCTTATTTTCGAAAATGACAGCCAAAGTTCTGGAATATTACACGATAGTGAAACTTGGGTGTTTATTCTATATTTGGCAATATTGAATTCTAGCATTTTGAGTTACTGTACTGACTCTAGAAAATACGAATGGTGATCAGAAGGCAAACACGAATCATCTTTTAGAAAGGAATAAGGGGAATCCCTGTGACATTGAGTGTTACACTCATTTCTTCTCGCTGAGGCCTCGAGAACCTTTTATCCTTGGAGGATGCTTTTTCACGAGAGGAAAATGAAAGTCCTAAAGTCAGCGTGCCCTGCCGCTCACAGCATCCCTGTGTTAGTTAGCCTCAACACATAAAATGTCAGGCAGAATATCTTGACAGTAGGCCTCATAAAGGCTTGTTTTTCCCCTAAATTTTCAATAATTAAAAAAAAAAAATTCAACAGCCATCTGACCTTGGACTCTCATTTTCATCTGTCTCTTGCAGTACACTCTCTTTACTAACCATTCAGCACACTGCAAGCCCTGATAAAAGTAGTTAATGTTTACTGAAACCTGCGCATGAACTGTACTAAGCCAGATAGGAGTGAAAAAGCAAAGTTCTGTTAACCGCATCCATGTAATGGAGGGGGGTGGGGGGTAAAGAGGATATTCTCTAGCTTGAACCTGAAAATTCCCAATGATAAAATGCAAATGTTCCAAATTTAACAAATTATGTCAATATATACCACCCATGAAAAGATGCTTTTTGATCTATTTTCTTGTCTCTGGAAGTTTTCTGGAAGAAATACCCCTCAATGATCTTACACAGTTGTCAGAAAAACAACTTAACTCAAAACTGAAACAAATTTATATTTCATATCTTGTCATTTTTTGAAGACCCATATACTTTAATCAATAGCCAACTTTAATTATATTGACAAATATTTATCTGAATAGCTTTTGTAAATAAGTTATTATAACTGAAAGAAAAAAGGCTAATATTTCTCAACAGTTATCATCTAAAATATCTTTCCCTTAACTCTTTAATTTTCCAATGTAAACGGTTTACTTCAGCCTAAGTAGATTTAATTCTATCATTTAATATATATTGAATTAAATCAGAACTTGCTAGTAATTGACACTATTTCTCATTTCTACATTATTTATCCCTTTTTTCTTCAAATAACCTCAATTAACATAAATTTTCAACATACACACATCCAACATATATAGGCTGTGTCACTAATAGGATGCTCTCAGGTGTTTAAAGCTAACTTTCTCTCTTTCCCATCCCCCTTGCTTAAAGTGCCCAATAGAATCAGTCACCTTGGAAACAAACATCACCCAGTGTTTGCAGAACAAACAATGGTACCTTTTCAGCCTGTACCAGGCAGGCAGGGCAAGGGGCAGCCAAGCAATTCTGGGCCTTACAGGAGTATTAACATATTAAATTCATTCAACGCACCAGAAAGCAGTTCATTACTAACACTGAGGTATGTTTTAACATGAGAGCCTTTGGCTAGACATCATACAAAGTGAGATTTAAAGTTTTTTTAAGAAAATATTTTTCGAATTGTTTTAGATATCTATGAAAAAATATAAAGCACATTCTTTTTATTGATGATTGTTCTCTAGAAAGCAAGGAAATTTGAAGAAAAAAGAAGCATGTTTCATCTAATTATTCCTACCAAGGCATCACATTAGTCTTCTAATATGCAGCTATATTCATTTCTAATATATACGTGTGTGTGTGTGTGTGTGTGTGTGTGTGTGTGTGTTGTGTGTATTTTGCTTGTTGCCTTAACTAGCTTATGCAATTTCTGGTACTGATAAATCTTATTATAAAAACCTTAAAATGACAACAACAAAAACCCTCAATTTCCAAAACAATTCTTAAAAATAGCAGCAAAGAATTCACAAATTTATGTGGACTTCAGATAGCAAGAACTACTTTTCGACCCTTGGGTGACAAGTACCAAACTTTCATTTGCTGAAGCTTTACATAAATGAATCATTTTGAACAGTTCAAATTGGGAGATTCTGATGGCTTCGGCTTTTAAAAAGCACAAAGGGGCACTTAATTAAAAAGAAACACACGTGTGTTCTTTAGATCCTTCAGCATGAAAAACTTAAGTGTCCAATGAAAGTAACAGTTTCCTTCTTTTTCTGGGTGTGCTTTCCTTTCCACCAATTAAGAAAGAAGCCTAGGTCTAACTGAAGTATTTGGACAGCAGTTTGGTGTCAGTTAAATACCACAGTAACTGGCATTTTCTATCACCTCAAGACTAAGGGACAAATGCCTAACATGGACCAACATGCAGCTTTAAACTGGATAAAGTGCCAGCCTTTTTTCTTTCCATTTTTTTCCCCCCTCAAAGATTTGGGTCTTTAACATCCTTGAATAGAAATGTACAATAGCATTCTAACGCTATCTGACGTGTGTGTGTGTGTGTGTGTGTGTGTGTGTGTGTGTGTGTGTGTGTGTGTGTAAAAGTCTAGTTTTTTTTTTTTTTTTTTTTTTTTTTTTTTAAAGGAACAACTTTCAAGAAAAAAT